ATGCTTCAACTTTATGCTAAATATTCGTCATCCTTGTACACACTGTAGTCTAGGTTCGAAGACAAAGCAAGAAATTGCTTTGAACTTAAAGGAGCTAATGGGGAACTCTGGAAGCTTTAAAAACCCTTGAAGTAATGGATTTCATATATTCTACATATGAAAATTGGAAGTGATTGTGGTTTCTACAATTCTTCCTCTTCTATGAACCAGCTGAGCCTCTTTTGTTGCAAATGCTCACCAGTATATCCTTGCCCAAATTACCTGGTTGACGCTACCTTTTGGCAATTCGCCTTGCACCCTGGTTTGTCAGCATTTCAACTAGATTATATGAATAATTACAGTGAGGATTAACGCAGCAATCCCTTGACAAAATGCTCCTCCTTAGGTGTTCTTTACCTCGTCACTTATAAAGTTGAATAAAAGACGATTTTGCGAGGGATTGGGACTCATCCCGTAGCATTTATTCAAATAGTAGAGATGAGTTCGAGTAGTGTGCACTCACTCATCTGGATAAATCGCCAGATTTTTCCAGACCTCTTTAAGCATGATTGGACAGTATCCTAGTAAGGTCGCAATTCCGGTATTACTAAAGTCGTCCCCGGATTGATGTTGATAAGTACACTACCCCACCGTTTCGAATGCGCACTCCCGATCCTCCTCTCAACATAAAAAGCGCCATTAACGACCACCTAGTTCTTTAGAGAAGACACCCTCGCTCAGGCGATGAAAATCAAACGCATTCCCAGCCTGTATATTCCCGCGATAGTATTGGCGTCACCTACTACACGGAGACGTCTAAAGGTCAGTAAGACCAATCACAAAGCAGATACCCCCTGTGAGCCCTGTAACAAATGATTGCCCACTACCTGAGTGAATCCAACGCCTGTAGGAGTCCCCTGCAAACCCATTACTCATTCTGATGACAACATTATACCAAACCAAGCGAGGTACGCGCGCCAAATCGGGAAGCTAAATGTATTAAGTCTACTTTTTACGCCAGCCAAAAAGACATGAAGCTAACTTAGACCGATTCATACCAGAGACACACAAACCCTCCCGCTTCCAAGGCCATTCAAATTGGTTAGAACACCAGAGTTTACCCCAACGACCAAAGATTGTGCTAAGGACATGAGTGTAGGGACAGGACCAAATGGACAAATTTACGCGAATAAAAGGATATCAACAGGGGCAAGGATCAATTCCATTCCGCCAGGGCCGATGCTTCTCGCGATCTCTTCGACGGCGGCGCTGACGCCTCGGCAGATGCCTCTGCGACCTTGGCAACCGTGGAGGGCTCTAGACGCCAGTGCAGCCGCGAGAACCAGCGATCGATGCTACACCGCCCACTTCGACCTATCCGGAAAAGCGCCTGTTCCAGCTCCTCTAACCTGGGCGGATGTGACAAAGTTTTTCTGTTAGTTACGCATACCGCCATGCGGAAAATTTGGCCTCCCACGCCCAATAAATTCGCATAATTTCGCTTGTTCTGTACACACAACCCCCTGCACCACTTTTCAAAGCGAAACATTTCACTATTGAATGGCATTTGTGGGACAATCAGCGGATCCTGACAATTGCCGTTGACTACTGACGCCTGCCAGTACTGAAGAAGCTTTTGAATGATAAAACTGACTTTCAGGGCTATCAAAGGCGAATAAAATGCTTTTATGTGCATTTTATTTGATCTTTTCAATGCCTTGAAGACGTGACAGTTGTCTGAGGTCAGATGAATTGGATGGATGATGGTAGGCTTAGATGCGCATCTTTCTCAAGCAGATTTTTTTTTTCGGTCCTAACCACAAGTTGCTTTACTCAATTCTGACTCAAGGCAGATACAGAAAACATTCATACGACGTAACCAGGTCTCGTGAAGCCTTGTTGGATAAGACCAGCACCAAGCAACATCCGACATTTCACTTTGTTGAACCATTCCGCCGAATAGATTTGGTTAGGAGAAGGTTCCCATCTGAAGCATCAAAGTAAAGGCAGGCATACCCAATTAACCACAATCTAACGATTCGGTAGATCGTCAAGCCCAGCGACAACTTTGCCCCTATTCCATGCGTAGTTTGAGGTGGATGTATTTACTCCCACTAGCATCATTTTTCACTTAAGTCTCAGGTCAAGACTAAAGTTGCCTGAAAAAATAGAATCAACTATCCAAGTCACCCTCCCGCCATACATCCGTAAGCCAGCCACCTTTTGCGAAACGAGCTATTCTACAGTAGATCTAACTAACGGCGGTTACATTTTTATTTGCCTGTGGTTTTATGAAAATGATTCCGAAAGAGCCATCATCAAAAGATAAGGAAGAACACAGAGAGGATGTTTGGGATACGATGAAAAACCATCTTGGATAAACAAGGTGATCAAGCAATAAATAAATACAGGCTAAGCCACAAGTTAATGAAATCAGCTACCTCCCACCTAAACATCTGGTACATGGATAAATTCAGTTCATCGCCTTGTGGTCCCTATATCAGATACGCATTACTGATAGCTCTCGGCTTAGAAACCACATTGCTATTAGCAGATCCTCACAAACACCTTTAAAACCAAATCAGGTACCATTGTGTTCAAGATCTCACAGTGCACTCCAGAGGGTGGACCGCTAACCGAAAATATTTTTACGTAAATGTTCCCACTGGCTCGAAATATTCACGAAAGATGAAGAGGAAACCGCCTTTGATAATACCATACCACAACTACGTTCTGCTATAGCACTCTACATTTGCACTTTTGGAAGTGACTCAGAAGCCGCGAAATAACCGAGATGACTTACGCACTTTCCACCCCTCATCTTTGAATGCTACATTGACAGTAGGATGAGGTGCCCAAAACCCTAACGAAAACGGCCAAAGTTTAGAATGCTTAATCTTTTCTCCGATTATCTCAAACCAATCCACCAAACTGATTTCGTAGTGCATTAATATCACAAAGGGTAGTTAAGACAAGAGAAAAGTGCTAGGGAATTATTTCGTTTCTGATTTTACCAATGTAGCGCAAATATCTGCATTGCAGTAAATTTAGTCTGATTTATGTTAGAATTACAGAATTAGATCGAGTTTCTAGTCCTATAATATGGAATGATAAATAAGAATCAAAAATACCTGGAAATTAATCCTAGAATTGATACTTTTTTCGCGTTGATAGAAGCCTCCATGAGATTTTTAATGCGTCGCTAATAAAGAAAAAAGGTTTCTTTTTTACCTCTGAACTTCAATTGCAAACAAATAAAAAGTTGAGAACTTTCTACAACGCTCCCTCAACTCGCACTGATGACATTAACCCGACCAATTCCTGCATAGAGATGGAAAGTGCGGTCTAGCATTCCCTCCAAGACAATATACTCCCAACATTTCTTTCCAGCGCGAAAGAACATATGAAAAACCCACTTTGACACGAACTTTTGTATGACGCAAAGATGTATCCTTTGTGATTTCTTGAAGGTAATCAAAACTTAGTAGCTTTCAGACAGTGTGAATTCTCTGCGTATCCCTCATATTTTGAAAACAATGTGCACCAAAATATTTCCCACTGTAACAGGCAATCTATGACCCCGTTAAACTTTACGACACATCTCAATTTACACACTTTAGTTCCAATTAAATAAATTCACAAATCTATTCCACCTTGAGGAAATCGAATCGCAGTTAAATTTTCCAAAGCAACAAAACGATATTCAGGGGAACATCGAGAATACTACTACTGTAATAAAATATTCACAACAAAAATAGAGGTAATAGCACCACAGGCTAATAAATTGTCCTTAAGCGCCTGAGAACCTAATAAAACTTCGTCATAACTGTAAGTACGAATGCAAGATGGAATAGGCAGATCTAGCGTACCCAACTTCTTATATTAAGTAATAATTCCCACCCCAAATACTGCTTTAATCAAAAAAACAAAATAAAATCATTCCGCAATCCCGAAAAAACCTATTGGAACTATTTCAACAGTAGTCGGGAGGTACCGGGCATTGCAAAACGAAACGCACGACATTGACTGCGTCTGAGCACAAAAACGATATTCGCAACCGTCCTTTCAATGTATCACAGTACTCCAGACAGGCAGGAAATTAATTTAAAGAAGCAGAATAGGTAAACCCAATTAAAGATTCGATCCAAAACATTTGACAAGTTAAAGTAACCCATAAACAATAAATAACCATTGTTAAAAAACGAACCATCCAAAACCCCAAAATTCGTGAATAGTCATAGGCCTTAGGAATCGAACTAAGAGTCAAGAGCTTCTCTCAATGCAAAGACAAATCTGAGCTCATACCTCGGTTTCTAGAAATCTGCAAGCGCCTTAACTATCCGCAAATATTTGCAGTTCAATTTCCCATTAAAACATAACCACAGAATATCCCAAGTTCGATGTTTAATCCTTTAGACTACAAAATGCTTACGTCTAGTTTAGCTCGAAAACCTATTCTTTTGCTTTAGACTGTGCACTTAAGATATAGTGATATCATCAAACTTAATGTGAAACTTGCATCGCAAAGCAAATCGGATTGGACATACCTGGAAGACGTCTTCAAGGGTGGCAATTACAGCAGGCATTTCTGAAAATAAAAGACTTGACAAATGGCAGCCGACGGAGTAAAAATAGGGGCATTTTCTTCGGAGATCGACAACCCAGGGGTCAGCGGCGAAAACCTCCCGATAGATTTCCTGAAATCAGGAATTATTTGAACACCTATAGTGGGTCCAAGGAGTTACGAGGTACATTAGAGGATCACCGCAAGTTATAAAAAGACCGACTTTTGAGACATGGCAAAGTCGTAGCTGTTTTACGTATTCATAAATCCCACGGATGATTTTATTGCAAATACCAGTGCTTGATATTGCTGGCATAATGTTTTTCATTTGGATCTTCCCATGTGGTCAAACTGAGCGCGTTGGATGCGCAAAAAGGACTTGACACGACAGATATCAAGCCTTTTTAGTTTGCAACACAAATAAGGTGAGTACGCAAAAACCTACTCTGTAAATAATTGGAAGTTCAATTAAAAATATTTGCCGTCGGCTACTGCCAATACTGGTTATAAGCCAAATGGGTATTTCAAGCTTCGCGCCTTGGGGAACGTCACTCTCATACATAGCGTCCTCAGTGCTAGGTTGAGACCGTTTAGAAGACTGGACAGAACCAATAAGTAAATGCGCGATTCTGTGCACTGAAATCCGGGTTTTGCAAGGCAACCGATCGTTTGTGGACAAAATGTCATCAATATTTAAGTAAGAGCCATGGTGTGATAAGGACAAAGTCCAATCAAAAGCTAAAAAACCTCGAGGATCTATCCACATATCCTGCAGCAAATTGAAAATTCAAAAGGGCAGACGCTCACCAGTCCAATGGAGGCACAAGGAAGCTGACCAATAGGAACCAAAGAATACAAATTTCATGAGAATAATAGAACATGAAGAGGGAATAAAGGGAAGGAAAGCGAGTCATGAACACCAAAGTATAAACACTAACACAAGTAACACAAAGGAACAAAAGAATTTTTGAAAAATTCCGAATAATCAGTCCTAGTTGTTATTAAAGATGGCAAAAATACCATATCTGTTCAATGATCGACCAATTAGCATTTAAGTTGCTTAACACTGTTATATTTGTTGTTATCTGTAATACAAT